TTTGTTTTGCTATTTATATGGCAAAACCTAGACCCAAACAAATCAGAAATAATACAAAACCGTGTAGGAATAGGTGCCAACTCACGTAGTTCATATACTATTATGGAATATATGGAAAATATCCTTTGGGGAAGTGAGAGCTTAGGAAGCTATTGTATTTTGCTGGGACCCTCTTCTCCCCAGGAAAGACACTTAAGTCCCTTGTTTGGCATTCTATTCTGCAGTAATTTTTTTTGAGACAGTGTCTTGGGTCTCACTCTGTTGCCCAGGCTAGAGTACAGTGGTGTCATCATAGCTCACTGCAACCTCAGACTCCTGGGAGTGTGAGCCTTCGCCTGACTCTGAGACAGTGACACAAACAGGTCTGGAGACATCTGTTCTAGCACATCTCCGCCGCCCGAGAGTCAAGCCTGAGAAATTACTGCGGTTGCAGGACAGGGACATACATTTGAAACAAGCCATGGGGTGGTGAGGAAGAAAAAATCAACAGGGAGCAGGAGTAGGCATTGGCAGGCAGGCACTGGAAGAGTTTCTTCTACTCCCATTGGCAACGCTCGCCGCCTCGTTTCTGGGTTGAATCGTGTGCCCCTCCCCAAATTCCGATGTTGAATTCTCACCTCCGGGAAGTACCTCAGAATGTGATCTGACTTGAAAACGGGGTCATTGCAGATGCAATTTGTCAAGATAAGGTCAAACGACACTAGGTCGGTCTCCTAATCCAATATGACTGATGTCCTTTTAAAAAGGAGGAATTTGGATGCTCAGACAGACATGTGCACGGGGAGAACTCAATGTGAAGATGTGATTTACATTGCCACAAGCCAAAGAACTAGCAGAAGACAGCAGAGAGGCCTGGCACAGATCCTTCCCTGGCATCTTCAGAGGGAGCATGGCCCCCCTCACGCCTGGATCTCAGACTTGCAGCCTCCAGAGTGTGAGGTGATAAACTTCTGTTTAAGCCACACTCCATTTGTGGCACTTTGGTATGGCAGCCCTAGCAAGCCAATGCACACACCATATGGGGCTGATAGGGGTTCAAACCATATGTTCAGGGCCCGATTAGAGAAGTTAACACTGTGTTGAATTAGTGAATTGACTTTGTTACTAAATTGCAACACTAATATTCTTTAAATCATGAGATTCATCAATCCTGGTGTTGCTTTAAGGTGCAGAAGAAGGGCTGGTGAGGGCTGCGGGTGGCTCAACGCCTGCAATCCTAAGCACTTCGGCAGGCCGAGGCAAGTGAGGATCGCTTGAGGCCAGGAGTTTCAAGACCAGCCTGAGCAACGAGCACGCACCCTTTCTTTCCTACCAAAAAAAAACAAAAAACAACAAAAAAAAAACACAGAAAGAAAGAACGAGAAGAAGAAAGAAAGAAAAGAGAAAGAAAGAACGAAAGAAAGAAAAAAGAAACGAAAGAAGATTAGCCGGGCATGGTGGTTGCACATTAGATCCCAGCTACTCAGCGGGCTGAGGCAGAAGGTCCTTGACCCCAGGAGTTCTGAGGTTGCAGTGAGCTATGAATGACACCCACTGTACTCTCAGCCTGGCAACAGAGTACAGACCCAAGACACTGTCTCAACAAAAAAATTACTGCGCAGAATAGATGCCAAACAAAGGACTTAAGTGTCTTTTCCTGGGGAGAAGAGGGGTCCCAGCAAAATAGACTGCTTCCTAAGCTCTCACTTCCCCAAAGGATATTTCCATAACTATTCCATAACAATGATATGGTGGAACTACGTGGAATTGTCACTATTCCTACACGGTTTTGTAATTCATTTCTGATTTCGTGTTGGGTTCTAGGCTTTTGCCTATAAGACTAGCCACAACAAACATGTACCATTTATCTAGAGAGTGTCTAATTTATAGCTCAGCACAATCTATAGCCTTCATCATGCCTTCTTGTTATGTTAAATGCTCACAAGAAATCTATGCTTATAACGTTTTTTTTTTG